TTATTTTCAAGAAGTTATAAATTAAGTATGTATGGCGTATCCACAACACGATTTTTTTTACCAGATAAGAAAAATTTTTTCATCAAGATTGGGACGGTTTAAAAATATAATTCAATATATATAAATTCGAATCATTGTCAAACGAGCATTAGGAATCTCACGGTAGATTTATAGTTTTGACCTAGCAAAAAATCAATTAAATGAAATCGAATTTTCAAGAAAACAATTCAATAAAATTCACAAAGCCTTATCTTTGAGACAAATGGTCAATTTCGATGATTTTGGATTAAAATATCTCAAAAATTAAAAATCGGCTAATTGTTAGTTAGGGAGATGTTTATTATTTCGTCCTGTTTGTAATAAGCTGTTATCCAAAATAGTATCTTAACGCGACGCCGTATTTGAGTGGTGAATAAGGAAAAAATAGTGTCGAAAACAAAATGATAACGAGTTTTATGGAAGATATGGATTAAAATATCTCAGAAAATATATTTTATTTTCAGCCCCCTGAGTTCGAAAAACACATTTTTAGCTATTGGTCTGTCTGTCTGTCTGTGCCAAGAACTAGTGAACCGATTTTATTGCTTCTTTTTTTTATTTTGTGTTGTTTTGACAACTGATACCTGTGACACAAATCGGGTTAGCATAGCTGCTGTGCAATAAATGAAAAACATGTTTTTCTATAGGCTGTAATGCGAAAACGGCTCTAACGATTTCGATGAAGCTTTCCTATAATGTTCTGATAATTTTCCCTTCACTTTTCGTATATGTATTATATTTCCGAGAAAATAAAGAAAAAAAAGTTATAAAGAAAAATGTTTTGGGGTCTAACTCGCTAAGTATATATTCTATAGTAAAATTTATAATGAAACTTTTGAAAATCAATTAAATTACCATCAATAAAAAAAAAAAAAAATCATCGGTATCGAACTAGTGTTAGATGATACAGCATATTATATTTTTTACACATTTTTCAACTTGTTACTTTCCTACCTATACTAGGTAAGAAAAGTATCGCAATAGGGTGAAATTTCCGATCTGCGGTTTTCGACGGGTCAATACGTTTCAGAGCCCCCTGAGTAACCAAAAGGGGAATAAAATTCTCTACAAAACTTTTTAAAAAATCGTTCACTTCGGGCAACTATTAACGAAGTTACAGCTATTCAATTTCCAATGTAAGATTACGGGTTCATATCCTGGTAAAAAGGGGCGAATGATAGAAAAAAGATGACTAAATGAAAGTAAGAAAATTTGTTGCCCGCATCACACAAGCTTCAATATATCCCCTACTTTTAATAAAAATTATTGTATGACAAAATTAGGCTATGGCAAAAAGTTTTTGATCAGCAATATTAGAGGGTATTGAAAATTTTACACTGATCTACCTTCAGCCGGTTTACATTGCTTTAGTTTATCAAATAAATCTTATTCAAATCTTTTCTTTGATCAATTTTCAGGAAAATAAATCTAATTCAATTTTTTTTGTTTCTTGACGGACATATGTAAATATATAAACACTTTTCTGATAAAGGTAGAAAAGTTGTGTGAGTGAACACACCAGATTTTTTTTTTTTTTAATTATTCATGATATTTACAACTGTATTAAAATATAAATACATCAAGTAAAAGTGTACACAGGAATATAATCTCATGAAAACGCTTGTTAAGAAATTACCCATTAGTAGCACTCCAATGATATTTCAACACAGGCGGATCTACGGTGGAGGGGGGTTTCGGGCGTAAACCCCCCAAAATGGTAAAAAATGTCCATGTTTTACAGAAAAAAAAATAGTAAAAACGATCTCTTAAAGTATTCTTGTTCGTTTAATTACATTCGATAGGACTTCAAGAACCACTTAAACACCATTTCATATAGGTAGTTAATTTCTTTTTTTTTAAATTTAATTATAGTTATATGTATATGAAAAAAAAACTTTCGGGCTGAAGCCCTCCCCAAAAAAATTAAATCCTGGATCCGCTAATGACATAAGGAACTCACGAGGCCATCTTCTTCTTCCTATCTTGAAATTAGTATTTATAGTTAAGCCAGGAGATCCCTCATCCAATTTCTTTTGAGATCATGCCTTGAATTAGTGAGCTTGTTAGTGTGTGGTCGTTAACTGTAGTCATTTGAAGTTCTATGTGAAAAGTAATGTATGTCACGTACCATGAAACTTTAATCACAGTTCTGAATGTTTTTGACTGAAGATTTTGTAGTTTACGTATGTGGGTCGTTTTTGGCTGTCCCATAAATCTGTTAAATTTTTAAGCAGTACAAATATATATTTTCTATCTAAAAAGATAAGACATTAAATGTAAGCGATATAGCATGTTTAACTTGAAAGCTGCCAAAACTGTTGGCAAAACCATTTTCTTAATTCATGAGCATAGCAGCTGCAACATGGCGTCAGAGCGAAGTGCGAAGTATTTTAACTTGACATCCCGCTCCAATGAAATATTGCCTCACTATAAGAGTTTTATTTATCTCTTTGGTCGCTTCATTGACAACATATATGCTTCAAAGAGGTGGGAAAACTTTTTTTCAACAAACATACGCGTATTGCTCCGCCACGTAAATAAAGTTATCGAACCTAGACAGAAATAGTTTCATTTCTCTTGTTATAAAAAAAGGAATCTTTATATTTGTTACGCTTTTTGATATATATATATAAAAGATGCTATAGTATGTTGGTATAATTTTGAGTAAACTAAAATGAAACCTAGATATGCTTTGATGGAGAAGATTGATTAAGGCAGCAAAAGATCTACAAGATTTTTAAAGCCTACAGGAAAAAAAGTAATTATGGTGGTCCACACATTCCCATCAAATTATATAATATATTTTAAATCTAATCTGCATTGCCACATTCACACATCTCGCAAGTAAAAAAAAATAACAGTAATGATCCGTAGTACAGACTCCTTTTTATCAAATTATTAAAATCTGTCTTAAACTTCGTAAATGGCTTCATCTCGTCGTGATCTACAACTATTATATTTAAGATAATTCTCGTAATTAGGGCGTTTTCAATCTGAAGATCGGCAAACTTTGTCTATTTAATGAGGTTCTAAAAACTCACAAAATTGATCACAAAATCGATAAAAAAGTTGGCCTTCAATAATATTGGGCCGTTTGCTGTGACCTACACCCCAATATGTCAAAATAGCGAACTTATATAGGACAAACGGCCCAATATGTTTGGAGGCCATCTTTTTTATCGATTTTGAGATCAAATTATGTTGCGATCCAAGTAGAAAGCAAATGGGGATTAACGAGTTGTTAGTACCTAATTAAATAGACAAAGTTTATCCCTCTCCAAATTGAAAATGCCCCAATTCCAATAGTTTTGATAATTGAATTAGCTGTAGGTTACGATGATATGAAGCTACTTACGAAGTTTCAGATGGATGTTTATAATTTAATGAAAATGGGTCTGTACCACGGAATATAAGCTAGTGTCATTATTAATAATAGTTCTGGGTTTTCAGACATGGAGAAGGATATTAACAAGTTGTACCTATTCCCGGTCTTCATTAATTTCCTTAACTCTCGGAGATCTCGTATCTAGATCTAGATCTAGATCTCGTACTTTTTTTTCGCAATGAACATATTGTTTATCTTTTTGTTGTCATGTTCGTGTACTTTATCAATATCAAAATATAGAACGATGGTTGATTGAGTGCAAAGTTTTAGTCCGTGGTACAGACCCCCTTTTATCGAATTATTAATATCCGCCTAAAACTTCGTAAATAGTATCATCTCATCATAATCTACAAATATTTTATTTACGAAAACTCTTGGAATTGGGACTTTTTCAATCTTGGGGGGGAGGGGGAAACTTTGTCTATTTAATTAGGTACTATAATAATAATAATAGGCTTTAGTGACAAAAGTCTATTACCCTAAGGAGGATTTTGACGGAGTTGGCTACAGCACAGAAAAATATGTTTACATTTTTACAATCATTTTTTTTTAATGTTTAAAATAAAACAAAACAGATAACATTTTTTTTTTTTTTTTTGTAAAATTAAGTTTAAGCTTTTCATCTCCACTTTTCGGAAAATGTCTTTATTTCTTGTTTTTTCTCTATTCTTGATTGACATTAAACTCCTTAAAAGTTTCATCTGCATAACATTCAATCTGAGTTCAAGTTACCTAGTCCGTGTCCAAGTTTGTACCCCGTAGAGAATCGTAGGATAAACACAAGTAGTCAAAACTTTGGCTTTAAGATTTATCGCTATATTGCTTTTAAAAATCGTTTTGAGGAACCAATATTTGTACCATCCAAGCTTTATCCTTCTGTCGATCTCTTTACTCATTTTTTCATTGAATGATATTGTTTGACCCAAATAAATGTATTCTTCCACGTATTCTACCTGTTTATTATCTACATAGATTGAAATTTTAGCGGAGTTTGTTATTATTTTAGTTTTTCCTATATTCATTTTCAGTCCATATTTTTTACTAGTTTCCACTTAGTAGTTAGGTACTAAAAACTCGTTAATATTTTCTTTCCACTTGGATTGTAAAATAATTTTATCACAAAATCGGGAAAAAAAGATGGACTACAAAAATATTGGGTCTATATTTGGCTTATATAACCTCGTTATTTTGACACTTTAGGGATATAGGTCACGCCAAATGGTTCAATATTTACGAAAACAAATGTGTATTTAAGAATTTTTAGTATTTAATTAAATAGAAAAAGTGTTCCGATCTCCAAATTGAAAATGCTCCAATTCCAAGAATTTTCGTTAATATACTAGTTGTAGGTTACGATGAGATGAAGCTATTTACGAAGTCTCAGGCGGATGTTAATAATTTGTTTAAAATGGGTCTGTACCACGAACTATAACTATATAGTGTTTCATCACTAAAATTAGAAATTTATCATACATAGGATAGTAAATAATAATCTAAATTTAAATAAAACCATTGAGATATAAACACGAGTTTATTTACCCTTGTGTAGGAGGGATGGGAGGGGGAGGGGGTCGAGGGCGGTTGTGGAGGGGGGGCAAACCGATTAGAGCGGCAGGGCTGCCAACCGAACAGTTGGAGTTGGGTACAGTGCCGGTCCAGATCAGCGGTCCGAGAGGTGAGCGGCAACACTGTTCAATATTCTTTATTGTATCTTCATTACTGTAAGTTAATAATATAATACAATACATTATTGTATTCAACACAGGGTGTATTCGAGAAGGAAAACTAATTGAACGGGTAAATATAATTAACGTATTTTCGATACAATACTGGAGATAAATTTACCTGTAATAGACAATTCTCAACTCACTAGCAGATAATATAATAGCTTTATACGCTCAAAAGAGAGTGCAAATACTTGCAGTTAAAACACTTAGGAGGTTAATGCCTGAATCTCAAGTGATATTCATGCCACAATAGCGGTTGATAGTTGATTTTTTAAGGGAGCAACTCTAGATATTTGTTTCAGGCAGTTTTTCTTATCATTTAACTTTATAAGTTTGAAAGTTTTATTAATTCATCTGTAGTTTGCCATTTCTTAGTTTAAAACTGTGCAGAATTTATTGTGTGCTTATTTAATTATTTAATAAACAAATTGAGCCCAAGAGTGTATTTACTAGTACGATATACGTTGACAGAATTTTCTAAACAAAATCGATAAAAAATAAATTTGGAAGAAATTAAACCAATTTGAAAAGATCCGCCATCAGAACTAAAGCTATGGTTCAAATTAATTTTTTTTTCTAAAAAATTTCTTTTAAAATGTTTATTACTGGTACCTTCACATTACTTTAATAATAAGGAATCATTAAACAACAATATTTATCGATATCACCCTTAATGGATCGTTTTATGAAATAATCGATTAATTATCTGATTGCTTATAAACCATTATAAAATAAATCTTTGTTCTCATATCGTCCATTTTATTTATTACATAAAATACCAAAAGTTTTTCAATATTATAGTAGAAACCAAAATGTTGGTAAATTATAAATATCAGCGTAAAAATGTATACATTTTTTATATTTTTGCAAATAAATATTTTTTGTCATATTAACAAAATAATCGTTAATACCTTACGTTATTATAATAATAAAGAATCATTAAACAACAATATTTATCGATATAACCCTTAACGAATCATTTTATAAAATAATCGATTAATTATCTAATTACTAATAAACCATTATAAATCTTTGTTCTCATACCGCCTATTTTATATATTACATAAAATACCAACAGTTTCTCAATGTTATAATAGAAACCAAAATTATTAAAAATTACAATCATTTGCGTAAAAATGTATAAATTTTTGTAAATAAATATTTTTGTCATATTAGCAAAATAATCGTTTATGAATAAATGGAGAATATCGTTTATTTTTTTAATATATGCTTTACTCAACTATATTTGACTATTTTTAGGTTAATTGTATTAAAAAATAAATTAATTAAATTCGCTGGCTTTTAATTTGATATTAATGATTCCAAATGTTACTGAAATGTGACCAGATTTAACTTAATATAATTTCGTTCTGAAAGAACTATATTAAAAATTAGTGATCTTTTAAAACTATTTACCAAAATTTTCAAACTATTATGTATTTAACAGATATATAAGTTTCGGTTTGAAGTGACAAGATAAAAACAAAAATTAAAATTGAAAATAAATAAAACAAAATTAAATATATAAAGTTGCGATAAGAACATTTGAAATCTAACATTCTAAACTGCGCGTACAATATAATATATAATGACAAGAATATATATATATATATATAATATGTAGAAAAGAATATATATATATATATATATATATATATATATATATATATATATATATATTCTTTTCTGAATGAAGACATAAGTGGTGAACGCCCAAGAGGAGTTGCGTAAGTTCGCTGGGGGTCCAAAAATAACGAACGACTCAGGGGTTGGAACGCTTGATGACCTAGTTCTCTTTTTATAATGAGCCAACACCTCAAAAGGTCTCGAGGCAAAGTCATGGGATAGTCAGTTATTAATAATAATAATAATACCAAATAAATAAAAATTAATAATCAGTACGTAAAATGAGAAAACGAGTAAAATAAGAGTAGAAAACAAACCGATTTTATAAAGTTTGATTTTATAAAGATTGATAAAGTTTTTCAATGGAACTTTGAAGCATGTATATTTTATCATATATTTTTTTTTTTTATAAAACTTCGAGATTTTACCCCTTAAAACCCCAACAAACCTATAATCACACTTTTTTTTAGGTATTTCTAAACTATCATTAATTATATGATTATGTGTTGGTGGAATAATAATCACTCATAAATAGTTAATTTTTTATTGATCCATTATTAATAGATAATAAAAATATTTCGTTCCACTTATATCTCAAATATGTCAATAAAATCATCACAATCAAACGAAAAAATACTATCTAAATAATATATATATATTTTTTTTTTTAAATAGATTTTTTTTTGTGACAATACTTATGACTTCAAAAAATATTATATTTATTATTTATGCCAAATTACAGTGAAAAATCATATATTTACGTATTGTTCATTATCTGTAATTTAAGATATTGTACTTCACAAACATAAACATTATAAATTTGATTAATCATTTTTTTTTCGTATTCTTAAATTCACTATTGAAAACAACCAGCAGGGACTACGTTTTAAATATAAACTTTTCATTGTACAATTTGAAAAATAATATATTATAAACCATCAACACAATAAAATATGTATATTAAAAAAAAGGTTTAAAGAGTAAAAATAGTTTAGGATCATTAAAGTCACTTGTAAATTCATAATTTTCTGTAAATGGTGAAAAAAAAAACTATACATGACAATTTATTTTTTTGGTTTCCGAAAAAAAATGTTTAAAAAAAACATCGGCTTGTGAGGGCCTCTCTTTGTAAGTTGGATTGGGCAAAAAAACGACTCTTAATAAAAAATAATAATAAATAAATTATAAATTAAAATAAAATATATCATAAGCCATAAACACTATAAAATAATATATATTAAAAAAAAGTTTAATGATTAAAATAGTTTAAGATCATTAATGTCACTAGTAAAATCACGATTTTCTGTAAATGGTATGAAAATAAAAAAAAAACAAAAACTATCTACATAAACATTTATTTTTTGGGTTCACGAGAAAAAATGTTAAAAAAACATCCACTTTTGTGGGCCTCCCTTTATCCCTTGATTAATGTGAAAAATATAGCGGGGAGTTTCTAATCTCAGCGCTGAGCTAATATATGGCATAAGACACGTCTGGGCGAAAAGATGGCATCGATGATCTGAGCGCTCAGTTTAGGAACTTGATCAATGTCACGACATCTTGTTTCCGATGACTAACAATTCTTCGTCACGTATTGTTAATAACAGTGGAAATATTAAAAGAGATTATTTAAAATTAAAAACGTTAACGGTTTTAACATTAATAATTGCGTTTAATATTTTTTTCTACTAATTTTATCTAAAATTACAAATATTCGTTGTGATAATCATTGTCAGTGATCGGTACTGATCAATGGTTAAAATACTATTTGCTTCTAATATAAAATCATGTATCTAAATATCAACAGTTTTTAAAATTACATGTGATAATAATATTAGAAAAAAAAATGTTCGTCAAATAAAAAATGATAAATATGATTTTTTCTGAAACTGCAAAATAAAATTTTAATTCACACAAGGTCCATTTACCACACTACTTTAAGTAAAAAATATATTTTTTTAAATTATTAAATCTTAAGAATATTATTTTACCTGTAAATGTAATCATACGGAAATTAATATAAAGTGTGACGATTCTATGTACTATATATTTATGATAAATTTTAAAGTTTCCATGGAAACATTTATTTTGTTTTCAATAATATAAAAAGTAGAAATTATTAACAACCTAATAGTTTTTACATTTTTTTTTCTTTTTCATTTTCCATAACTTTATATGTGGGATATCATTTTTTCTAAAACCTGTATTTACGTTGAAAATTAGGTTTCGTATTATTTTATGTTTGAAATATTTTCCCCTAATTAAATATGTTTCATCATTAGGTAAGTGAAGTGTTAAGACAATATTCACCCAGATGATAACTAATAGAGCAAATTTTGAGTGAGACTATTGAATCCAATGACAAACATAAACATATATTTATTAAAAAATCGAATAAATTAATACAAATGAAACATGAAATAAAATAAATATATTAAAATCGGAAATAAATTAGAGGATTTTGGTTATATTATTAAATTATTTAAAAATGTTTCTTGACCGTTTATTGGACAAGAAGATTCATCACGCTATATCGGGCTGAGTGTACCACAAGCGGTATTCTGACCACACAGTTGATCTACGGTCTATTAATAAATAAATTAAAATTATTTGAAACGTAAAAACGAAAATTTAATATATAATAAACGATAAATGTTAAAAGAATTAAACAGATGTATCTCCCTACGGTTGATGCAGGAAATTGGACAAGTTGGACTACAACAAACAGATTACAGAAAAAGGATTATGTATTATTCTTAAATGATGCTAAAGGAATGTTATTTAAGAACGCGGAGAAGGGATAGTAAATTTCTTATGATTGTAATGTGGCGTTTCTCTCAAAAAATAAAATAAAATGTAAACTAAAATACAAAAGGAATGAATTAATGAAAATAGACACGTATGAAAAATGAATAAATATATTTTTATTTTTTTTTTAGAAATCTAGAGATTTTGTTATATCCTTGAAAGGAATTCAATTAAATCTATCAAAATCGAATCGAATCTACCCGTTTCATTTAACTATATAGATATTTTAAGTGAAAGGATTATTTTTATTTATATAAATCATTAAAATATGTTAAACTGAAGAAGATATGTATCCATTAGACCATTAAAAAAAAAAATATATATATATATATATAATTTTTTTTTTTTTGGCATTATAAGAACATATAGATCGTTTGCCACCTTAACAAGCCTCTTACATCTCTGCCTGTCTTGGGCTATTTCTTGCCATTTATCTGCACGCAGCTCTGTTGCATATTTGCTGATCATATCTATCCATCTGCTTTTGGGTCTTCCAAGTGGTCTTTTGCTTTCT